GAGGATAAATATATATGGCATTGTGTTGTTATACAGTCGATAAGTGGCATTGTGTTGTTAAACAGTGGATAAGTGACATTAAGTAGAAAATTAGCAGTTAAATTAAATTAAATTATTGCACTTAAGTGGTAGATCTAGTTATTGCACAAAAAAATAAGTAAGAAGAGTGTCCAGGTATGTATGAGTAGATTATTATTGCACAGTAACCCATTAATGGATCCTTATGGATTTCTCACTTTATAATAACCAATTAAATCAGTGGTCAGCAGTAGTTGATGTTAAAAATAATATTAAGTTCTTACCAATCCATTTAATATGCCCTTTCTAGTAGGTCAGAGGTCAAATGGTCCATTGGAGGGGTCCACCTGATGAACTGAAGAGGTAAAATGAGTTTTCACATAAAACCAAAACTTGATCTTATAAATAACTTATAACTGCATCTACAGAGCACCGGTAAACGATTTATTTATAAAGCAATTACTTAGAACTTATAAACCCTTTCTAAAGAAAGATACATTGGTACCACTTTTGAAAATTATATTAATAACCACTGAGAATGTGAAAATGTCTGACAATTATAACAAATATGCCATAACATATCATTACCTTCAACAACAAGCTATATGACTTTCTTTTGTAAGAATCTTTGTAGATTCCAGATTCACTGAAACACTGCAACAACTGTCTGGTGCAGACAGCACTGAGACAAATAGCAGTGCCCGTCTGCTGGCTTCTGGCGCCCCTTAGTGGTCAGTCTTGTATATATTATTCTTGGCTGCATAGACTACAAATACACTGCATGCTATTCCCCACCTAATGTTATACTTACATGGTTGTTCTGAAGCATGTCGAATCTTCTTTGATAGTACTGTTTAATATATGCTCATATTTGACCAGTTAACTCGAAGGAAAATTCCCTCGAGGCAAACAACCTGCAAGAAAAGCACTGGAGACCTATTTAAAGGTAACCTATTCTGTTCTGGGTGTGTGAAACAAGTCTATTCACTGTTGTCCCCTAATAAGGACCAAGACTAGATCAAAACCTGTATATGTACCATCTAATATAGCCCATTTCAATCAATTAGGCAAGGAAGTTAGGACACAATACATAGAAAATATCAAACGACACAAGATGGCATTAGTTGTGTTGACTCTACATATCCAACAGTGTGTAGGATTCCTTTATTCTTCTTCTCGTAACTCTTATCTGTAACTCCCAGTTTAGATACTTTAACACAAGTGTTTGAAGGCTGGAGAAGACTCATGCCATCATTTGGATACTACCTACTGTTCTCAGATTGGTCTGGCTTGTATGGCTGTTGATGTTGGACTCAAATAATTGGTTTTCTAGATTAAGTCTGTAGGTAAATTTCTGCCAGTAAAATACTAATAACTAAAAAATGTAAACTAGAATTATATCGAAAGAACATCATTATTTAGAAAGACACCATTTTAATTCTAAGGAAAGTTCCCAAAAATGCAAATGTGTCAGTGAATTTTAGCAAACTGCCTATAAAATAGACACCTAGACCTGTACCTTCAGTAGACCTATAAAAGCCCACAGTGCAATCAGATAAAGAAACAATGTTAATACAATTATTTAATGTCATTTATAACTTTAAGAGAGTGCTGAGTAACGTTAGTTAGCCGACATAATATATTCAACTTCCCACAATGCATGACCTTGTAATATATATAAGTATATTAGTTCAATCAGGTTAGTTGCCCTAATTTGAAATAGGCCAGTAAATTAACTACACGCTAACTCAAGTTTGTGGACTTATAACTCCGTTTCAACAAAACATCTTCAGTCTGAAGCATTTGATTTTGGAGGTTCAGACCGGAAGTGGCAGTGAGTGAAGTTAGTTTGACATTGGTACTGACTGCTGGACCCAAACACGACTTTCTGTCATATCACTGCTGTTCACCTCAGACCTTACATATCACGTCTGGACTGGGCTGATTCGGTGAGTGTTATGTCGTTATGAACAATGAAGGAAACGCCCGGGATAAAAGTTTGTCAACCCTGCTGACGTTTAGCTACAAGGATAAATCATTAAAGCTCTTCGATAGCCGAAGCTACACACGCTAGCTGCCAGTCCCGCTAACTTTAACCCTAGGAGCTTAAAAACACAAAATGTCAGGGGACTTTTACGAAACGTTACCAATGTACAGCTCAGCTAAGGTTGTTTACCTCTAAGGTAAAGTTCAGGATAGTTTACACACGTGCTAAAACGTACTGTAGGCTAACGCTAGCTATGCTGCTAAAGGGATAACAACTGCAGCGATGCGTTAGAGCTAACGTAACACAAGTCAGCTAATATGTAACTAACGCTATAATATCATTGTGACAGCTGAAGGACCATTGTAAGGTAACCATGTCGGCTTCCCAGGCCCCGTCTTTCTTTGCAAAGTGTTGACTATTGTAATGTTATTAAATGCCAAGCTGCGTTAGTCGAGTTAAACAATATCACATAATAAACATACGTAAGTTAGTCTCCACTACAGCAGAATGAAGAACAGCAAGGTATCTTCGTGTAACCTTACACAAATGAGATATTGACGCTTGCACTGTTGACATTTTAAACTACCTTAAAGTAACGTTGACCAGTATGTGAGGCTGTGTGTGTGTTTGTGGCTGCAGAAAGCACAGCTATGTGCAGCTGTGTGCGGAGCTCCAGGGCTCTGTCCCCTGTCCTGCTGCCCAGGCTGCTGCTTCCCCAGACGGGGTACCGACTGGCCGGCAGGAGCCTCTGGACCTCCCCCCTCTGTATGGCTGTCAGTGGAGACTCCCAGCTGCTGCCACTGCCCAGTCAGGCCCGTGTGGTGATCTGTGGAGGAGGCATTGTGGGGACATCGGTGGCCTACCATCTGGCCAAACTGGGCTGGACTGATATAGTACTGCTGGAGCAGGGCAGGTGAGATGAATGTCTGTTATTTTATGGGTTGGCAATGTTTTAGAGTTGAATTGTGAAGTGTTGACTGGCTAAAATGGCCTTGTGAAAGACTCTGAATTCCCTCTAGCTCAGCAGTCTACGCTCAGTGACCAACCCTAACCTGGGACATCCCTGTGAGAGGAGCGAATAAAGACGAGGAGGATCTGTTAAAAAAAAAAAAAAGTTGTCGATTGGATAGTGCTAATTCTGTGTTGCCTGTGCTGTTATCTTGTTTGGCAGACTCGGTGCAGGAACAACTAAACTGTGTGCTGGAATTGTCAGTGTGGCCAAGCCTATTTCCATTGAGTGTCAAATGGCAAACTACTCCAATAGTCTTTACCAGCAGCTAGAGGAGGAGACTGGGGTCAAAACAGGTGAGCCACTTTGACATGTTGTTCTTTTACTCATGTTTAACTTATACTGATGCTGTTAATGAAGACAAAGGTTTACTGTATGAATGATATTACCCTGCTAATGAATTACCATACATTGTCATGGGCTCAATCCACTGAAATAAAATGCATCTTCTTGCTAACAGGAGAAGCTTGTTCAAAAGTTTTTGCTCTGCCCTTGTCTGAGCTCTTAACCTGAAAGATCAGCAGAAACAAAACAGGATTCATTTGTATTTCCTTATCAAAAATAGAGTTAAGTTCCTGTGAAACTTCTCCCCAGAAATTCAATATCAGAGGGAAGTGCCAAATGCAGATTCCACCCCTCTTTTTACATTTAACACAGAGGGGAGAAATCCCAGGATAGAAAGAGTAAAGGGGCTGGGGTGTGCACTGCAGTCTGTGAAAGGTCCCGTACTGACTCTCTGTTAGCCTATTGCACAAAAAGATTTTCCCTTGGTTTGGTGTGTTTGTGTTTCAGGTTATGTGAAGACGGGGTCTCTGTGTCTGGCCCAAAATCAGGATCGCTTCATCTCTCTGAAGCGCCTGGCATCTCGACTAAAGTAAGACCCCAGAACCTCGTATCAATCTTTAGGAGAGATATCTTTGGCAGCATCTATTCATTTGAGTCTATGTGGATGAGGCAGGTTTACACAGAAACTTTTCTCACTTCTTTGCAAAACTGCTCAAGCTCTGCCAGTTTGCACAAGGACTTTGAGTGAACACTCATTTTTAAGTCCAACCACAAATTCTTTATTTAATTGAGGTCTTTGACTCTGACTTGGACATACACTTTTGTCTAATGGTGGCATGATGCTGGAAGTCCATAGCTCAAACCAGCTCAAAACAACAAGACGGATTACTTTTGTTTGTTGACTGGATAATTCTGTTGCTGGTTGAACATCAAATCTGCACTTAGCTCCCATATCTACCAGCTCACAATAACAGCTGTCAATATTTTTCATGATATTGTATTTACTGATGTTACATCTGTGGTTCACATATTAAAACTAGAAAATTCCTAAAGAAATTTTGAGGCCACAGC